CATGGACCCATATCTATCTCTTGGACTTTTTTGGAGAGAACACTTTGCTAAGCAAGGGAGACTTCAGGAGGAAAATGCTGCATTTTGAAAAGAACACAAGCTGCTTAACCAAAGTAACCCAAGTCTACAATATTTTTTGAGAGGCCACATCACCCAGTTTGCATGTGTAACAAGCTATTGTTTTTTTCCAAAATGCAGTCAGAGAGCTACCTTGCCTGGAGCAAAAGTCTTTGCCCTCTCTCTCTTTGCTTCTCTCTGACAAACCTCTCATCAAAGTTTGAGAGTAGCAAACCCTGTGGACTGCTCATGACCACAAACAGAGCATTCCTACACTTCATAAGAAAGAAACTTCATTGCTGAAACCCATGTTCTTTAAACTACTATCACCATCTCCAGATGATGCTGGTGAGGCCACTTTTAGAATACTGTGTACAATTCCATTTGCACTGATATAGGAAGGATATTGTTAAACTTGAGAGGGTGCAGATAAGATTTCCAAGGATGTTGCTGGGACTGGAGGGTTTGAGTTATAGGGAGAGTCTGAATAGGCCTCTATTTTTCCCCTGGAGCATCGGAGGCTGAGGGATGAACTTATAGAGGTTTATAAAATCATGAGGGGCATGGATAGGGTGAATAGCCAAAGTCTTTTTCCTAGGGTGGGGGTGTCCAAAATTAGAGTGCATTGGTTTAAAGTGAGAAGGGAAAGATTCAAAAAGGACCTGAAGGGTATCTTTTTCATTGAGAGGGTGGTGCATGTATGGAATGAGCTGCCAGAGGAAGTGGTGGAAGCTGGTACAATTACAACATTTAAAAGGCATCTGGATGGATACATGAATAGGAAGAGTTTAGAGGGTCAAACGTTGGCAAATGGGATTAGGTCAGATTGGGATGTCTGGTAGGTGCGGACAAATTGGATCAAAGGGTCTGTTTCTGCGCTATATGACTCTATGATTCTATGAACAGAATTTAGCCGGCCATACTTGATTCAGGAAGAGATTCCAGCGCCTATAGTTTGTAAACAAAGTGACTTCAGCCACAGACCAAAGTAGAGTCATCGAGTTATACAGTACTGAAACAGACCCTTTGGTTAAACTGGTCCATGCCGAGCAGATATCCAAACTGAAAGGGTCCCATTTGCCAGCACTTGGCCCATTTCCCTCTAAACTCCTCCTATTTATGTATCAATCCAGATGCCTTTTAAATGACAATGTGATGAATTCTTTTTCCTGAACTTAACTGTCACTTGGCCCAACCACATAAATTTCCTAGATAACACGGTGTAGAGCTGGATGAACACAGCAGGCCAAGCAGCATCAGAGGAGCAGAAAAGCTAAAGTTTCGGGTCGAGTTATCTCAGATTCTCCAGCATCGGCAGTTCCTACTATCTCTCTCACATAAATTTCCTATTTTGTTTCCCAGATTTGGAGGTTGTGTGTGTTAGTTTTCATGCAGGGTAAATGTGTATATTTGCACAGTTTAAACCTTTTATTAATAATGCTTATATCCTTAGTTTTGTTTGTAATAATCTCATGCTTTAATGGTTCCTTAAGGAACCTGGTTGACCTATTTCTGATATTCAGCTATATATAGTGTAAGATCAGTATAAATGGCAAAAGGACTTTTTAAAAAAATACAAACTTCATTGTGACCATTAGAGGACTAGGACAAGTAAAAGAATCAGTTCACCTCTCATAACAATGACATCTGCTTCCATGGTGACCAGATATGCAATTTTAAAAAATTTACTCATGGGACACAGGCATTGCTGGCTGGCCAGCATTTATTGCCTATCTCTAGTTAACCTTGAGAAAGTGGTGGTGAACTGCTTTCTTGAACTAAAATGGAATTCCAGGATTTTTACCCAGCATCAGTGAAGGAACACTAATATATTTCCTAAGTCAGGATGGTGAGTGGCTTTGGAGGGGAACTTGCAGGTGGTCATGTTCCCATGTATCTGCTGCTCTTGTCATTCTAGATGGAGGTGGTCATGGGTTTGTGAAGTGCTGCCTAAGGATCTTTGGTGAATTTCTGCACTGCATCTTGTAGATTATACACACTGCTGCTACTGAGTGTAGGTGGTAAAGGAAGTGTATGTTTCTAGATGCAGTGCCAAACAAGCAAGCTGTGTTGTTGGAGCTGCACTCATCCAGGCAAGGGGGAGTCTTCCATCACAGTCTTGACTTGTGCCTTGTAGATGGAGGACAGGCTTTGGGAAGTCAGGAGGTGAGTTACTCACCGCACTAATTCCTAGCCTCTGATCTGCTCTTGTACCCACTTTATTTATATGGTGAATCTAGTTGAATTTCTGGTCAATTGTAACCACGAGGATGGTGATTGTGGGGGGATTCAGTGATGGTCACACCATTAAATGTCAAGGTGTCAGTGGTTTGATTGTCTCTTACTAGAGATGGCTATTGCTTGGCATTTGTGTGGTGCAAATGTTCCGTCACTTGTCAGCCTAAGCCTGGATATTGTCCAGGTCTTGCTGCATTTGGACATGAACTGCTTCAGTATCTGAGGAGTCGCAAATCATCTGTGAACATCCCCATTTCTGACCTTATGATTGCGGGGTGATCGTTGATGAAATAGTTGAAGATGGTTGGCCTAGGACACCACCCTGATAACTTCTGCAGAGATGTCGTGTAGCTGAGATGACTGACCTCCAACAACCACAACCATCTTCCTTTGTGCCAGGTATGACTCCAACCAGTGGAGAGATTTCCTGGATTCCCACTGATTCCAGTTTTGCTAGTGTAGCTCCTTGATGCTACATTGGGTCAAATGCAGTTTTGATGGCAAGGGCTGTCACTCTCACCACCTCTGGAATTCAGCTCTTCTGTCCATGTTTGAACCAAAGCTGTAATACAGTCAGGAGCTGAGCGTTCAGGAGCGGAACCAAAACTGGGTGTCAGTGAGCAGGTTGTTGCTAAGCACGTGCTGCTTGATAGCACTGCTAACAGCACCTTCCATCACTTTACTGATGATTGAGAATAGAATGATGGAGTGGTAATTGGCCAGATTGAATTTGTATGACTTTTTATGTACGGGACATACCTGGGTAAGTTTCTACATTGTCAGGCAGATGCAAGTGTTGTAACTGTAATGGAACAGTTTGGCTAGGGGAGCGGGAAGGTCTTCAGTACTATTGCCAGAAGGTGGTCAGGTCCCACAATCTTTGCATTATCCAGTGCCTCCAACCATTTCTTGATATGACATGGAAAGAACTGAATTAGCTTAAAACTGGCAACTGTGATCCTGGGGACCACTGGAGGAGCCCAATTGGATTACTCACTCAGCACTTTTGACTGAAGATTGTTGCGACTGCTTCAGCATTATCTTTTGCACTGATGTGCTGGGTTCTTCTAATATTGAGGATGGAGATACTTGTGGACCCTCCTCCTCCAGTGAACTGTTTAACTGCCCACTATCATTCACGACTGGATGCGACAGGACTGCAAAGCTTAGATCTGATCCACTGTTTGTGGGATCACTTTGCTCCATCGATCACTTGTGCTGTTTGGCCCACAACTAATTGCTCAACAGGCTGACACCTCATTTTTAGGTATGCCTGGTTCTTCTCCTGGCATGTACTCCTGCACTCTGCACTGAACTAGGGTTGATCGTCTGGCTTGATAGTAATGGTTGAGTGGGGGAAGTGCTGGTCAATGTAGTTACAGATTGTTAAAGAGCATGTCACAGGGAGACATACTGAAAATCAAACTAATAAACCTAATAAAGAGCCATTACTCTCCACTTTCCTCTCTGCATGCTTTACATTTTTGTAATATATAAATAGCATTTATGAATTATCTCTATTGCTGGAATTTAAATATGTTTGAAACTTCTCTGCTGGACTACTACTAAACAACTGAAGAATACAGATGTGACAGTTTTTTTTCCAAATATAACTTTACTAAATTCACTTTCAAACATGCCATTTAATTTAAATCATAAATCATGACTCATAACACTGACACACAAATTCCAAATATTTATTAAGAGTTAAACTATATATAAAGTGACACTCTCACTGAATAGTGGTGCTGAACATTTCATTTGTTAAACAGAACTTTTTTCACATAAGCAGTAACACCCAGTTTAAATTACCTCCTTTATGTATTTCTAGATTGTAAACTAAGTGAATCTAAGACTGAATTTATCAATCAAGTATTACATTTGCAGCAAAGAAGCCAAAATCCAGTAAACTGACCTATTATATATAACATTAATTTTAGCAAATAAGATTGTAGCAATCACCCCATAAATCTCAGAAAGATAAATTTTTGAAGCTCATTATCTTTAGCAAATCACACAGGGGTCATCAGGTCCTGATTTAACTTCACCCTCAAGTAATGCGTTCATCACAGCCTTCATCAAGTAGCTGGCTGTCCCTCTCTTACCAGTTGGAGGTGTATTGTAGAAATCAGTCATGTCCTGTAAATAGACAGAATATGAATGAAATATTAAGAATTTTCAATCTTGTTTCTTTCTTTTTACGTATATTTGGAAATCTTTCTGAGGGAGAGTTAGTGATACCACAGATACCAATTACATGCCAGGTTGATGAAAATCAACTTTATTCAGCTTAAAGTCAAGATTAAGAACATAAAATGAATATTCTACACTTAAGTTTTGTTGTGCTTTTACACTGCCTGAAAATATTGACAGTGCTGGTCATGAATGCATGTGGAAGCTCGAGCAGCAATTGTCTAAATGTCATTTTTTTGAAATTGATAGTAAATAAAAAAAATCTCAACCAATAAAAAAATCAAAGTTCAATAATAAAATTGTGCATGATAGGTAGTGGGTACCACTAAAACAAATCAATATCAACAAAAAAAAGCAAGTTCCAAAAACTAATGATGAATCGCACTTTGACTCAAGTTAGAAATCAAAATCTCAACATACCAATGTGATCTTACATGCCTCTTTTAAACCATAACCTACACTGCATTGTGAGTACATACTCCCCACCAGGATGAGTGCAACTCCAACACTCAAGAGGCTTGCCATCATCCAGGACAAAACAACCTGTCTGTTTGGCATCCCATTCACTACCTTCAATATTTGTTCCTTTCAGCATCAGCGCACAGTAGCAGCAGTGCACATCATCGACATGATGCATTGCAGGAATTCACCAAGTAGTCTCCAACAGCACCTTCCAAACCTGAGACCACTATCACCTACAAGAACAAGGCTGCAGAAACATGGGAACATCACCAACTGCAAGTTCTCCTCCAAGCCAAACATCATTCCGTTTTTTGGTCAAAATCCTGGAAACCCCTTCCTAACAGCACTGTGGATGTATCCAATCCCCAAAGACTACAGTAGTTCAAGAAGGCAGTTCATCATCACCTCTCTAGGTCAATTTGGAATGAGCAGTAAATGTTGGCTTGGCTAGCGATCCCTACATCCCATGAGTGGATAATAAAAAGTGTACTTAAATATCTCTTTCCCTTTTCTTCACTATGTCATTCACTCCTATCTAGTCATTTTTTTTCTTCCAGATTTTACTGTCTCATCTCTTTAGGTGTTACAATGATAGCAAGCCTACCTAAAGTTCAAATCCTACTCCAAGACTTTGTGGCCAGGTTAGGAGTATTCATAACTTGGCCAATCAGGGTGAGTATCAACTTGTAAATCTTTCCAACGTATGCCAAAGAAATGCATATCAGATGGAAACAGTGATATAGATTCCTAGTCAGTAATGTGGTGGAAAGAAATTGGAACCTTGGTCATCACTATCCAAACTATAACATGCATGTAAAAGTGTATGTTGCTGTGGCAACTATTACTCCTTGGCAGCTTAGTTAGCTGGACAGCTGGTGTAGATCAGATTGGTGCCAGCAGCATGGGTCTGATCCCTGTTCCAGCTGGGGTGGAGACCTGCCTCCTTGCCTAGCCATTGTGGAGAACATCATGCTGAGCAAACTTCTTTTTGGGATGAGAACTCAAGAAGAAGAGCTTTGCATCAAAATTGTTTTCTACAAAATCTGACAACCTTCTCAGTTTCAGGAATTCCTCTTCTCATGACCAGAGATTGGCATCTGCTGACAGCCTGCATCTATGATATCAATGATTTCCACATGGTTGTCGGCTGGCTCCAGGTTTGCTAATATTCAACAACAAAATGCTAACTCTTCTTCCCAATGTTAGAATAGGCTTTGTTGGGCAAAATACAAAACAACATTGTTTAATATAGTCAGACGAAAGGAACCCTGTCCACCTCAGTATCATACTACGTCTTATGCATCACAGCTGAAATCAAGACCAAATACAAACTGCTTTATGGTGTTCTTGAGATGCAAATCAACTAAAGGTGGGAATATTAGCAACAAATATAAGAGCTACAGAAGTAGGCAGCACCTTTAAAATGATACCCTCTTTCTAACTGCAGGGTTCCATGTATTTACAATTTCATTTGGGTCGGAGGGGACAGATGGAGAAATAAGTGAATAGACCATTTCCCTCAAGGAAAAGTCAGAATATTATGTTGAAAATGGTAAACTGGAGTTACAATTTACTCCTGAGTGCCAAGGCCACAGGCACAAGATGGGCAAAGAGAGCTACACCTTTGTACCCATTTTCTATTAGCCTATAATTTCCTTGGGTTTGTACTGTGGACACAAAAGGTTTGTTTTGCTTCATGGTGCAAGCCATATCCCAACTTCTGGAAATTGATACCTTGTTCCTAGGAATTCCAACCTGTTGCATCATTGGCGTCTACCACCAGTCAACTGATAAACCGAAGCATGCCTGTGCAAGGAGGATTTGCTACGGCTCTGCTCCTTATGTCTGGGGCTGAACAGTATTGTGAGCTGTTTTCCCATGAGACAGAGATTGCCCAGTTTGTGTTTGATGCTCCTCTGCAGCTTTCTATCAAGAGTTATCAAAGGAACCTCGTCATTTGAGCTTAGTAAACAGAACCGTACCCAAAAAGGACCAAAGTACAGCCAAACTGCTCAAGGACAAGAGGTCGCAGCTAGGGTCATTTGATCTCCTCGGTTGGAAAGTATACCAATTTTCACAACACTAATTGTAGCACTATTTTTAACCACAAAAATTTGGCAAAACACATGGTGTGGCATGACAAAAAAAATCATCAATTTATACAAAAATAAGAGGGGCAGAGGAGACTGCAATAACTCTAAAGGCATCTCACTTAGTGTCATAGGGAAGGTCTTTGCTAAGGTAATACTTAGAAAACTCCATCTACTTGTAGACTGAATGTATTCAAAAGCACAGTATAGTTTCCATGTTGGCAGATCTGTAGTGGTCACGATCTTCTCCATACATGAACAACAACAGAAGTACAGGTAGTGGGATATATTTTCTCAGCTTCCGTGGGTAGATTGTACAAAAGCATTCAGTACATCAATGGGACAGTACTCTTCAAGATTTTGGGTAAAAAATATCTGCCCAACAAAGCTCCTGACTCTCATCAGCTCCTTATATCATAACAAGCACTATTATATGCAGTTTGATGCCATCAACTCTGACAGTTTCAGGGCAAATAGTTGGTGAAACACAGCTGTGCCTGAGCCCCTGCTTCCTTTTCCATGCTCCTGATCTTGTCTTCTCTGTAACCAATACTCACTCTAATTTTATTTCTGGTGCATAGACCTCCAAGATTTGCTAACAGCAGTGACTTTTGAATCCAGAAGTCAATACATTGGCTAGTACAGAACCTCGGAGATACCTCAGACAGTATGTGCAGCTCAGAGAAAACACTACCTACCACCAAGGAAGGAATTTACCTGCATTCTAGGTAAGCCAACAAGCTCTACAATCTCTCCACACTGAAAGTGAAGACAAAAATACAGACCAACTTGGAACAGAAATCGTCTCTATGCAGATGATGCCGCCCTGGTAGCTCATATGGGAACTCAGCTACAATGACTCATGCATTATTTCTCCAATGCCAGAAGCTTATTTTCCCCAATGACAATGATCAAAAAACTGTGGTCATTGGGCAGAGTGTCACTCGGTTCCTTATCAGACTAAATAATGTCCCATTGGAAGTAGTTACCAAATTCTGCTACTTTAAGGCAATGGTAACCATCTGTCATTTGATAAAGAACTCAAAGCACACGTAGGAAAAGCAACTTCGACCCTGATTGACTGAAGAAAAGTGCATGAAATAACATTAGGCTAATTTTTAGGTCCAAGCTATAATTTTGTGATGCGTGTGTTCCCAATAACTTGTAGTATCGGATTGAAACTTGGATGTATGAAACTTGCAGTATGCTAAACAAATGGGCATAGCCACCAGAAACAGTGAAATATTTGGGCAATCTGTGGGAAGTAATCTAAACTGCAAACAACCTTCTCCAGATGCTGATGATCGCCTCTTTCAACTTCAATTAAAGTGCTTAAAGTAGCAATACCTGTTACACTTTCAGGTTGCATGGAGTTGGAAATGGAAATTAAGATTCGTGGAAACTATAACTGGAATGTGGATGGGAATATTAAACATTCCAAACAGTACGACAATTGCTTCACATATCAAATGATTTGTGTGGAAACAGGAACACCAATATTATGTTCAATAAAGAGTATAGTCAGTGTGAGGGGGCTTTTGCCCGAATGAGACAAGTGAGGAGATCTAGGAACTTGGTTCATAGCAGGATTCAGTGCATGAGGGAAAGAGATGGTCTGAATAGGATTTACTGCAATAAGTAGTGTGCTGAGTGGAGAGTTTGGTAAAGAATGAGGAGGACGTGTTTTTTTTTCTCTCTGTTACCTTTCATCAGCTTTCAATCTTGAATTCCAATCTTGTGTAGAAGGAGGAACAGGTAAATCAGTAACTGGTATTGTTAGAAACTGTAAGTTTTATCAGTATTGTGAGTATTACATTGTTTAATCAATATTATAAAGTTTACTGGCAGTGCTAAAGCATTTTGGGAGTATAGGCTGCATTAATTACACATGAATTAATTTAGTGATTACTAGTTAATTAACACATATTGGAGATGACAGGGCAGTTGTGGTGCTGAGAGTATGGGACCTCCTAGATGCTGGTGTGACTCAGAGCAAACTGACCTGCAGTAAGTGCTTACAGCCGCAGGAACTTCAGCTCAGAGTTGGTGGCTCTGGGGAGGCCCAGGTTCAAATCCCACCTACTCCAGAGGTTTGTAATAACATCTCTGAACAGGTTAGTTAGAAAAATAGGTTAAACAACAAAAAAAAACTTGCTTTGCATGCTGAACTGTATACACAGTGGCCATATCAGCAAAAGGGAAAGTTACCTGGGACATTTTATTCTAGGTGGTGGCCACACCCCTTAGGACAAGGTCCTTTTATTTGGTCAATGGTTATGGACAGGAGAGTAATTGGGAAGAATCAGCATGGTTTTGTGAAAGGGAAATTCCGTTTAACCAATTTTTTGAAATTATTTTCATAACACATGCTGAGGATAAAGGGGAGCCCACTGATGTACAGAAATTGGATTTCCAGAAGGCATTTGACAATGTTCCCTTGAAAGGTTATTGCTCAAAGTAGGAGCTAATGGTGTAAGGCTAACATACTAGCGTGGATAGAAGACTAGCTTGCTGGCAGAAGACTGAGAGTATGCATGAATGAGTCTTTTTGTGGCAAGTGAAGTCCCACAAGGGTCTGTGCTGGGCCCTCAACATTGTATAATTTATATTAATTAATTAGATAAGGGGATTGAAGGCATGGTGGCTAAATTTGCAGATGATATTTGATAGGTAGGAAAATATGTTGTGAAGATGACATTACAAGTATGAAGACCAATATTGTCAGGTTAAGAGAATGGGCAAAAATCTGGCAGATGGATAAAATGTGAGAAAATGTGTAGTTGTTCACTTTGAAAGGAGTAACAAAAATGCAGAGTATCACTGAAACAGATAGAAACTGTATATTTCTGAGGTGCTGAAGGATACAAACTCGACGAGGCAAAGGGCCTTTTTCTATGCTGTAGGCCTTTATGACGCTGATCCTAGTGTTCTAATGCATTGGTCATAAACAGCCAGTATGCAGCATACACGTGATCAGGAAGAAGATTAATGGGATGCTAGCCTTTATAATGAGATTAAAAATAAAGATCTTATGCTTCAGTTATATAGGGCATTTTTGAGACCACATCTGAATACCATGTACAGTTTTTGTTTCCTTGCTTAAGGAAGGATATAAATGTTCTGGAGGTGGTTCAGAGGAGGTTTATTAGATTGATACCTGGAATGAGCAGATTATGTTTTGACGATGGATTGGACAGGCTGGGCTTGTTTTCACTACAGTTCAGAAAAGTGAGGGTTGATGTGGTTCACACCTATAATATACTGAATGGTCTTGACAAGATGGACATGCAAAGGATGTTGAGTCCAGACCTAGGAGCATTGATTTAAAATCAGCAATCATCCCTTTTAAAACAAAGATGAGGGGAAAGTTTTTATTTTTAAAAGATTATGCAACTTTGGAACTCACTGCTTCAGAAAGGTGGAGGAGGTCGGGTCATTAAATATTTTTAAGGCAGACATAGATTGATTTCTTTGTCTAACAAGCATTTGAGGTTATTGGATTGATGGAAATATGGAACTTGGATTACAAACAGATCAGCCATTTATTCCTAATGAATTGTAGGCCAGGCATGAAGGGCTGAATGGCCTATTTCTGCTCCCAATTTGTTAGTTCATAAGGAGATGTGACTTTTGGACTCTTTAAAGTATCTAAATACATGGTACATCTATTTTAACCACCTTTTCCAGTGTCTGTGTGATATTTTGGGTGCTGAGATTATTAGCTTTTTCATTATTTTAATTTAAACTTGGGAGTAGGCCTGTTTTGTGCCTGTTCTCGAAAGTCAAGGGGTTAAAGCTTCTGTTCTTAAAACACAACTGTCCTGTCCACATCATCAGTTTTGAAGTGAGGGCCTGCATTTAGCACAATATTTTTAAAACTAGAGCAAACAATCATGGAATACTGGCAACTGTTGTACCAAATACAATTAATGTTTAAAATTTTGCAATTTTTTGCATCAGTCAAGCTGATTTCAGACTAACTGCACTGAAAGAAACGGACCAATTGAATAGAATTTCTAGGCCATAATATCTACACATATGAGATTAATTTTACTTACCTTAACCTCAACTTGCTCCAGTCTACTTTTGTCTCTCTTAAATTCATCAAAAGCCTCTTTCACCAGTTTGTCTAAATTTACTTCACCTTGAAATTCCAGCTCAGGGTTGCGTTCCAACACAACAGAAACAACCATAAGTAGCTGCAACAAAAAAAAACAAATATGTAATTTGTAATACATGATGTTAAATTGTACAAAATAATTCATACATCTAAGCTATTTTTCCAAGAGGTTACTCCAACACAAAATTTATAAACAGACTTTTATGACAGGGAAATGAGTAAAATAAGAGGTAAGGTTTAATGTACAAGTTTGCAATAAACATCATCAGCAAGTTTCACAACCTGACTACTGTATTCTTCTCTAAGGCAGGTACTCACCATGTCTTTCATGTGAGATTCTCAAATGACTTTTTAAAGGAAGAGTAGCTGAGGTGATTTCCCAATGCTTTCCTTACCACTTCATCTTCAGAGTTCTAGGTGGATTGCAACCTGGGCTATTGCAGTAAGGGAAGGGGCACCACTAAACACCTTTTTATGCAAGGTAGTCCAGCAGAATGTCAATCAAATATTAAGAGCTGGCATTCTGGTCAATGCCTGAATTCAATCAGAAGCAGGAATACCAGCAATAAATCATTTTGTTGCAAATATAATGTTTTAAAATATAACCTTAGCTTTAAGAATGTAACTTTAACTGTACAAAATCATTGAGAAACTAGAAAAAGCAATCATGAAGTAAATATGATTCAAACAAGCTGAGTTTTAACAAAATAAAACATTTAAAAAATATGGGCCATGTTGACTTAAGATGTTAACTTCTGGAAAGAAAAATTCATAAGCAGCAAGTGGGTTAACTTTGTTTAAGTATTACAGACAAGGTACTATACATAAGCTGTTTGCAGTTATTTCAGTAAAGGATAAGTTACTCTTGTGATTTCCCTAAAATGAGGTAAGCTTTGAAATTAGGAAAAAGTCATTTGTATCACATTTCTAAGGAGATGGTTTAAATGTCATTGGACCAATGAGTCTGTGAATTAGTTAAATTAATAAATAGCAGAAAATATGCCCAACAGTAACAATCTTGTTATTAATCTTATGATGCACTAATGGGTTTAACATTTTGACGCCATTACTTCCTTTTGCTTCCCATATTCCTTGGTTCTATCTAACTGACAGAAAATACTTTTAAAAAATTCTTGTGTTCTGACTTATATTATTCCATCTATTCTTTTATCACTAGAAAAAAATTTTAAAACGATTCTTGTGTTATGACTTATATTATTCCATTTAGTCTTTTATCACTATGATTATGCAATTACAGAATAGTGTAACACAGACAGAGGTCAGTCTGTCCATCAAGTATGCATCAGCTCCTTCAAAGAACAATCCAACTGCTATAGAGCAATTTGTGAATCGTGATACAATATAAATTAAATAGTGAAATTTTAATTGGAGGCAGGGGTGTGTGTGTAGGAAAAAAGACTCCTGGGAAGCATTAAATCATAGAATCCCTACAGTGTGGAAACAGGCCCTTCGGCCCAACAAGTCACATCAACCCTCAGAGCATCCCACCCAGACCATCCCCCAATAACACATCCCTGAACACTATGGGCAATTTATCATGGCCAATCCACCTAACCTAGACTGTGGGAGGAAACCAGGGCACCCAGAGGAAGCCCACGCATACACAGGGAGAATGTGCAAACACCACACAGGCAGTGGCCCAAGGGTGGAATCAAACCCGGGTTCCTGGCGCTGTGAGGCAGCAGTGCTAACCGCTAAGCCACTGTGCCACCCCTAAAATAGACATGTAAACAAATCTTTGCAAATGAGAAATTAAGAAGACTGTTAACAAGGTCTCTTAGCTTTATTAATACAGGCATGGAACACAAAAGCAAGGAGGTGATGCTACACTTTTATAAAACACTGGTGAACTGTAGGACTTTGTTCAATTCTGCGCATTCTTCAGGAAGGATGTCAAGGCATTAGAGTGGCTCCATAAATGATTTACTAGAATAACATTAGGGATGAGACTTCAGTTATGCGTACAGACTGAAAAAAGCTGGAGTTGATTCCTTTAGAGTAAGCGGGATTTGATAAGTGTTAATCAAAATTATGAATAACTTAGATGAACAAAACAAGTAGAAAGAATGAAGCAAACTATTGTTACAAGGGAAATATTAGAAGCTATTATAAAGAGGTTATAGCAGGGCACTTGGATAAGTTCATAGTAATCAGGTAGAGTCAATGATAGTTTTGTGAAAGGAATATCATGTTTGACCAACTTATTGGGAGTTATTTGAGAAGAAAATATGTGCCATGGATAGAAGGGATCTGGTAAATGTACTGTACTCAGATTTCCAGTATAAGGTGCCACATCAAAGATTATTGTGCAAAATAAAAGCTCACAGTGTAGGGGCTTGGATTATGGAATGGATAGAACATTGGCCGGCTAACAAGAAGCAGATTGATATATAAACTGAGATAACAAGGTGTAGAGCTGGATGAACACAGCAGGCCAAGCAGCATCAGAGGAGCAGGAAGGCTGACATTTCGGGCCTAGACCCTTCTTCAGAAAAAGGGTCTTTTTCTGAAGAAGGGTCTAGGCCCGAAAC